TTTCCTTTCACAGATCAAGACCCCTACACACAAGGAATTATTGATATAAAAGTGTACCATATGTTAGTCCCAAAATTCCCAATTTAAAACCCTCTAAAGGTCAAGAACTTACTACGTATATAATATAACCCCCACGAATATGTGAACGAGAGGACATCACTGTTCATTTAAAGGGACTATCCCGATATGAAAAGAGTCTCAAAAATAAAAGTCCGAGTACGAATGGAATTTAAGCACCAAAATATAGAGGAATTGTGTATGTATCTTGTCTCAAAATTTCAACTTGTCTCAAAATTTTGGACGTGAATGTCAAAAATGCTTATCCGGACTCGTAACCCTTTTAAGATTTTAGGTCAATTTGGGTGACCTGATAATCTATTTAGAGGTCTATACAGAGCATGACCCATGTGCTGTACTTGATGAGGAAAGGTAAATTTCACCTACACATTATTTTTATGATACAACTTGGCACACCGGTCTTCATTTCCAGATGAAGACTGGCGGGTTTAAGTTGTTTGAAAACGTATCACAAATATTGAGTTAGTTGCTAAGCCTTTAGGTAGAGGATTTTCACACAAAATTAAGCAGTTTTATTCTCCCAAAAATTATCGGGATTGGCCCTTTAATGATTAAAAGAACAAGTTTGATACACCGACGGTTTAAGGGGTCGCGGTAGCTAAGTGGGTAAGACGCTGGCTCGCTAGTCTGGAGTTCGGGTGTTCGATCCCTGCATTGGCCGAGAAAATGCATCCAGATTTTCCAGCGTGCTTTCCCCTTGTCAGTAATGCAGGCCGGAGGGCCTGACAAGGACAGCTGTCTAGTCGTTCGGATGGGACAAAAACCGAGGTCCCGTGTACACATTGGCGTGCCCATAAAAGATCCCTTGACAGTTGGAATTCGATATAAAAGTAGACCGTTGTGCAACTGTCCGGGCAAAATTTCCCTCATAGCATTAGGAATGGCGTATGCCCGTCTTCATTATCCCAGTTCGGGGCAGGAGAGTAGGGCGTTAAACCCCATTTCATTTCATTTCATTTCCAACGGTTTTATATTAAATTAAAATAAAATACTTACCGGACATGATCGGGTCGGCGTTTTATTCTTTGCTTTTAAAGTTTCTAATTCGTTGTCGTTGTTGAGTACCTAAAGAGAAACGAACGATGACAATAGTTGCGTAATTTATGTACAAATGTAAAACCGATTGGTTATTATATGTATGGACTTTATAATACTATTATTTGGTCCATCGTTATACCATTAAAAATATAAAGCTTTTGTGTTGATTTTAGAGCCACTCACTGTTTGAAGTCATCGTTTAAATTTGCCAGACGCGCGTAAACGAGATCTACGAGAGGTTGCAGCAAGTTCCACAAAAGCAGGTTTTTGTTTTGGTGGGGCGGTACGGTTTCCTAACCAAAAAGTAGTGTTGGTTGGTTAATCAAATCCGATGTTTGACTTGTTTTTCTTAGGTAAACATACAAGGAGAAACGACACCATAAAATCCGGAGAAACTTTCTCGACGAACACTTGGGGCGAACCAGAGACTTACTGGTTAGACTACCAGCATCTTACTCACTGAGCCATCGCGGCTCCACTGGGGTACATGTATATGGTTATATGTCGTTTGTCACTTATCAGGACATTAAAAAATCTAAAGATTCATTCCCACATGGGGGGTTGGATGGCTTAGTGGTTAGCACGTGCACGCTGTATCATTAAGTCTGTCATTGAGTCAACTGGCGTGGTTTCGAATCCCCGGTTGTACGTGACAAGGAGTAGGGTCGCCTGTCCAACCTCGTGGGTTTTCTGCGGGTCCTCCGGTTTCCTCCCACTGCTAAAGACCCCTATGCGCAAGCGAATTATGGAAATAAAATTGAACCATGTTAGTCCCGAAATGACCTAGTTTGTGTCGAGTGGACGTTAAACCCCATTTCTCCCTTTCTCTCTCCCCCTCTCTCTCTCTCCCTCTCTCTCATTCCCACATATATTACCTGAAACAAATTACAAAAACTAAATATATAAATGTTACCTGGCTAGATAGATATAATATAACGTTTTCAAGTCGACGCACTTACAATCGTTGAGTCATGGTTTTAAAAAAATAATCCCACTTGATCACGGGTGCGAATACATAACAAAGAATGTACAGTTATGTTAATTTCGTGTGTCTATTGTTGATTCAATTTATTGGGAAAAACAAATTCTCTGGGAATACCCATTACATGGAAAAAACCCCAAAGTATTGATTACATTATTCATAAAGGATTATCTCACCTATTGTGTTGTTGTAATTTACAAGCTTACGTCACATTTTGGTACACAGCATGGGCAATTGTTGAACATCATAAAATATTTGAATTCTTATATGTTCTAATATATACACAGCCATATCTCAACTTCCATGCACAGGTATACCTAACAATCTGCACTCAACCATTTCACAAACATCGTAACTTTTATCTATTTGGTTTCGTGTGTATTTTTTTCTAACACTTGTTTTCACATTTAAGCTGCCGATAGATTTGTTTAGACGAACTATCAATTTTTACACGGGACGTGAGTTTTTCGTCCCATCCGTAGACGTACGCTTTTTAATCCCAGCTGGTAGCCACGATGGCTCATTAAGGAAGACGTCAGCTAGTTAACGTCTAGCTTGTAAATCCCAGACTTAAGAGAAAAGTATATAGACAAATACTATTGAAAAAGAAACATTAAACATGCATTATGCAAGAGCTAAATCTGCCTATTGCAGGCCTTTCTTTAAGCCTGAAATGTTTTCTAAAGTATTAATTAGACATTAATTAACTGGTTCAGGCCTTAATCAACTCTCGATGGCATCAGATTTCTCCGATATTAAATAGATTAGAATGGTTCAGCGATACTTTGATTTAATCAAATATGGAGGACCGAGACTTAGCTTCGATCAACCAGTACGGTGGTTGAAATTATTGCACACGTCTGTCAAACCTTCAAAGACTAATATCTTCGCTTGCAATAGAGTAATTTGAATGAAATTTTCAAATTATTCATTTTACATCATCTACTTTCGAACTATTATAGCAAGAATGACTAGTTCTTTATCTAAATCTTACATAATGTATCTTTAATCTTTAAATTCATTGAACTGCTGAATAATGAAAATTGTATATTGTTAAATATTTTAGGAAAATTTGTAAATTTTGTAATGAAATCTCGCTTATAGAGATATCCTACATAATTGTACATATCCGCCATCACTACTTTATTGTTTTGTAAAACCGATAATACTATGTATTTGGTAATAAACAATTACTACAATCTGGAGATCCTGTGCTCGATCCTGGCGTTGATCGAGAACGTCCCGCTGGATTTTCCGGCGTGGTACCTCCTTGCCAGTGGTGCAGGACGGTGGGCCTGGCAAGGGACAATGTATAGCCGTTCGGATAGGACTAAACACCGATGTCCCGCGTACAGATTGGCGTACACGTAAAAGAACCATTGCCATTTAGAATTCGAAAGAAGAGTAGGTCGTCGTAGCAGACTGTATTCCGTCTGTCTGTATTCATTATCAGTGGGTAAGACGCTGGCTCGCTAGCCTAGAGGTCGGGTGTTCAATCCCTGTATTGGCCGAGAAAGTTCATCCAGATTTTCCGGCGTGGTTCCCCCTTGTCAGTGATGCAGGACGGAGGGCTGACAAGAACAGCTGTCTAGTCTTTCGGATGAGACGAAAAACTGAGGTCCCGTGTATACATTGGAATGCACGTAAAAGATCCCTTGGCAGTTGGAATTCGATATAAGAGTAGGCCATAGTGCCGCTGTCCGGGCAAAATTTCCCTCATAGCACACTGTATGGCGTATGCCCGTCTTCAAGAGCCCAGCATAGGAGCAGAACAGTAGGACGTTAAACCTCATTTCATTTCATTTCATTTCATTTCATTTCATTATCAGTCGATGCAGAAAATAGGACATTAAAGAAGCTAAACCTGTTACTCAATATTTTTCACAATATTCGAAATTAAAAACACGAATTTGAATTCAATATTGGTCAATTTCAATCAATATTGATGTTGATATCTTACGAGACATTGAGAATTGTATAATCAGTACAAGGGTCGTGTATTCCATGGTTTCGGGTGCCATTTGTAACTAAATATCCTATAAATGAAATGAAATGAAACGGGGTCTAACGTCCTACTGTCATATCCTATACGACAAGACGGAAGCAATTAATATGGACCCAGCAGGCGCAGACGACTGTACTGTTCACGTATTTAACCGAACATAATTGATTACAAATTACAATATGTTTTAAGAAATTGAATATAAATCACTTTATATACACTCATATTTCATTAATACGTGCTTTTAAACCCAATTTCGTCTACTGTAAGCTTCCAAAGAATCCAGACAATGCGACCTTTAATCTCATTTTCTTTCATATGAACTGTTTTATTAATGTGTGTTAAAATGTTTTTGTGATCTCAATCTGATTAAAATACAGATCTATATTTCGTTTCGTTGTTTTTTTATACTTTCGATGACCTACAGTAGTAAAGACAAGTAAAACGAAATTTTGAACTATAGAAACGAAACGAAGTAGGATCTGCGTTTTAACCAGATTGCACTTTTACAATATTGTAGTTGGCAAGGCATTCCTATATCGCTAATTGACCCATCAAGCCTTTAAATAGTTACGACGATAAATGAAAAGATATATCTTGTTTGTTGTTCAGATGTTTATATTCTTGTTTAACAATACATCAACATAAATTACAGCAGAACATAAATAATAATGTAACGTATTGATGAGTTAACAATATTGGTACAAATTCTTAATGTTTGATAAGTTAACAATATTAATAAAAATTCTTAATGTTTGATAAGTTAACAATATTGGTACACATTCTTACTGATTGATAAGTTAACAATATTGGTACAAATTCTTACTGATTGATAAGTTAACAATATTAATACAAATTCTTAATGTTTGATAAGTTAACAATATTGGTACAAATTCTTACTGATTGATAAGTTAACAATATTAATACAAATTCTTAATGTTTGATAAGTTAACAATATTGGTACAAATTCTTACTGATTGATAAGTTAACAATATTAGTACAAATTCTTACTGATTGATAAGTTAACAATATTAGTACAAATTCTTAATGTTTGATAAGTTAACAATATTGGTACAAATTCTTACTGATTGATAAGTTAACAATATTAATAAAAATTCTTAATGTTTGATAAGTTAACAATATTGGTACACATTCTTACTGATTGATAAGTTAACAATATTAATACAAATTCTTAATGTTTGATAAGTTAACAATATTGGTACAAATTCTTAGTGATTGAAAAGTTACAAATTCTTAGTGATTGATAAGCTACAATATGGATATGAGAATTGCAATTAAAGTTTTGTCTCCAAAAACAGGTACATTAACTTGGTCCTTAGGAATGTGACCTGAAGCTGATCTCCTAAGGACGGCTTGTAACAAGGTTCTCCTCTGGACTGACTACTTGGGTTGTACACAAGAATCTCTTGTAGTCTAACCAGTGAAACCAGTGGCAGTGTGCGGATTAGCGAGACATATTTATTGAAATCATAAAGAGATTCGGTCATTTTGACATAAAGCGAAACTGTTTATGGACCGTATACAAATCATGTCTTATTAACTGATAGTACACCGGGAAGCAACAGCAGTGACAGCGCCAACAATCGCAGTTCCAATAGCCTTGAACAGTGTTGTAAGAAAGCCATCCGACGACTCCATCTCTTCTCGCACTTGTTGACGAGGATTAGAATTCCTCAATGCCGCCATCTCAGCCACTAGTCTCTGCCTTTCATTTTCATACTGCTGTGTTTGTTTTGTAGCAGTCTCCTCTAGTTCTTTCTCTCGTCGTTCAAGTGCATCATATCTCTTTTTGAGCTCTCTTTCCTTTCGCTTTTTTTCTTCGTCAATCAACCTCATTTTTTCTTTGAGTGCCTCCTCTGCCGCTCTGTACATTTCTCCTGTATAGTGAGTTCCGCCATTTTGGTTTATGGTTTTACGAACCATCTTAATTATGCTATCAACATCTGCTTGAACTTCTTCGGCCACTCTAGAATAATTGTCTATGGTGACGCAACGTGAGCCACATTTCCGAATTAAAGCGTTGAGTTTCGGTGGAACCTTTTGCAGAAAATTCTCGAACGTAAGCCCATCGTGTGATAGATTGTCTTTACCAGTGAAGACGATTACAACATGGTTGATGACGTCCTCTCCAAAGATAGCCACTAGATGATCTATGGTTTTCAGTTCCTCATCGGTGAATCGGCCGATTCTGAGGACAAAGAAAAAGACGTGTGGACCAGGGGACGACATGCCAATGCACCGTACTATTTCCATCGTCGTTTCCTCGTTACTTTTTCTGGTGTCAAAAATCCCTGATGTGTCGATAATGCAGATCTCGGTGCCATCACGAAGCTTGCCTTTCCCAAATTTACATTTAGACGTCACGGACGTTCCAGTAGCACTCGATGCAAAGTGTTTTTTTCGCAGTAAGCTATTCCCTAACGCGCTTTTTCCCACACCCGTTTTACCGACCATAACCATTCTAATTTCTGAAATGAAAATGGAAATTATAATTATAATTTCTAAGTTTTTTATATATCCATTTTTAAATTTGATATATGCAGATACCAATAATATTAGGAAACTACATATTCAAAAAACAATGTACCTGTCAATGAACTTTGTCTTAACGAGGGGGGGGGGGGCACGTGGCTAAGTGGGTAAGACGATGGCTCGCTAGCCTGGAGGTCGGGTGTTCGATCCCTGCATTGGCCGAGAAAGTTTATCCAGATTCTTGCACGTGACAAGAAGTAGGGTCGCCTGTCCAACCTCGCGGGTTTTCTCCGGGTCCTCCCACTGCTAAAGACCCCTACGCGCAAGCGAATTATTGAAATAAAATTAAACCATATGTTAGTCCCGAAATGACCTTGTTTGTGTCGAGTGGACGTTAAATCCCAACTCTCCCTCTCTCTCTCTCTCTCTCTCTCTCTCTCTCTATTTCAAATATTTTATAAGATTCCGTGAGGACTGCCAGCGATGTTGTACCCACCCCCAAGCATAGATTGACAGAACACCATGATGACTGAAAGTAGTTTTGATTAAAATGTAGTGTAATATCACGAAATATAAACCTAACAAAATTACACCTACCATTTTTTATACTGGATTCCGCCATAATTCTTTAAACTGCCTTACAACTAATAAATCTATATCAATGTATTCGTATGGGTTGATAGTAAACTCTGTAATAAATGTTATTGAATTAGTAAAATATTTAAAGCCATAGAGAAAATTATAAAGGTCAGGTTTGTGTCGAGCCATAATTTGGAAAATAGGCTGCTTATGAATCTCTAAACTATTATAGGTCAAATTCTAAGTGTGTTGTCGCATACCATTTGGTAGAGGAATGTGTTGTCTTTCAGGAAATGTAATCATTTTCCTGGCACATTAGTGTCTGCAGGGTGGGTTGTGGCGTGTGGGGGGGGGGGGCGTACCTTGGGGCGGTGTTTGTGCGGGATGCTGTCATTTGCGACAGCGTAAGGCTATATGAAAAATCAAATTCCAAGTGTGGTATCATGTACCGTTTGGGGGAGAAATTTATTATTGTTCATAAAATGTAAACATTTTCCTGGCACAATAATATCTACAGGGTAATCTTTATACATGTATTCCATAAATTGTTGTATTTACACAGACTTCCGACTGCCATCCTAATATATTGTAGTTTAATTTTCTAAATAAGACATTGTTCCTGACCATGTTTAATGGTTTATTACTTTATGTACATTATATGAATTGTAAAAATTTTAGTACAAACAGTACTTAATCTTACTTGCATTATTTTGGGAGATGTTTTATAATATATGTTCTAGACATAACTATAGAAACAGTTGATGCATGGATTGAACAAGAGAAAGCAGAATCCAACTTTATCATAGGGCAACATTTAACAAATTAAATATAGTAATTATCAAATTGTTAACATTAACTTTATCATATATATAACAGCATAATATACTGTTTAAATATAATGGTCGTACACAACTCTTTGGATTATTTTATTTGCAAAATAAAGTCTGATTTCTGAAATAGATATTATAGGTAAAATTAATTATATTTATGATGTGTTCGTTAAAAAAGTATTAACATTAGTGTTACTTTGCTCTTATTTTTTTTAACAAATTTTCACAAGTTGATTTCCTTTATTTTGTTAATGTAGAATGGTAATGAACTGCTCTTTTCATTTTCTTTGTTTTATTTGTTTCGTTTGAATTTGATTTATCAGTTTAGTTTTTGATTGTTTAATTTTTGTTAATGAAGTTGATTCTTTTAAACTTCGTTTTTATTTTTGAACTCTACTTGGTGTAGGTGTTCATCAGGTAATACCTCGACTGAGTTCAATATAGAGATTAGCCGGTTGATTTGTTGGATATAAACCTTTGAATAATAGCGCCTAACAGGCAGCTGTGTTTAATTATGTTCTCCTGATTTTGATTGTTTTTGTGTGTTTGAAGTATATGTTTGTGATATGCGCTTAGAAACACTTCACGTGTAATGAAGCGCTATATAAATCGAACAATAATAATAATAATAATAGAGAAAACGACCAGCCCTTTGTCTTAATCTTACACGATGCATCTTTAAATTCGATTACGATGAACAATACTGGATATTGACGCAAGTAGCGTGGACTATTTTTAGAATGTAGGCGTGGCTTCTAATAAGCATGCTGGAGTGTTTTAAATTTGCATGTTTTGTTTCTCTGTTGGAGGAGCCATGGTGGCTAAGCGAGTAAGACGCTGGCTCGCTAACCTGGAGGTCGGGTGTTCGATCCCTGCATTGGCAGAGAAAGTTCATCCAGATTTTCCAGCGTGGTTTCCTCTTGTCAGTGATGCAGGACGGAGGGCCTGACAAGGACAGCTGTCTAGTCGTCTAATGGGACGAAAAATCGAGCACGTAAAATATCCCTTAGCAGTTGGAATTCGATATAAGAGTAGGTCGTAGTGCCGCTGCCCGGGCAAAATTTCCCTCATAGCACACTGTATGGCGTATGCCCGTCTTCATTGGCCCAGCTTAGGAGCAGAACAGTAGGACGTTAAACCCCATTTCATTTCATTTCTAAATTTAAGTAGCAGTCAACTTACTATATGCTTATTGTGGGTTAATTGATAAACTGCAGATGTCAACGACGGTAAATAACTGTACAGCTGCCAAACACTCGAATGAAATCGCCAGCTGGAGACAGGTTATTATTCTGTAGAATACTATTTCTCCAAAAATGACTCTTACTAGAAAAATCTTTTTATGAAAATATCCTTCTCATACCCTTTTTTTATATCTCCTATTCGTCATACTTACGTAACATGGCTTTTCTGGAGAATACTATTTCTCCAAAATCAAAGTTATTTGTTATGAGCGAATAGCTTTCACGAACACGCCCCCAACGTCATGTACCTGTATTAAAGGGCTAATCCCTATAATATTTTGGAGAATAAAACTGCTTAATTTTGTGTTAAAATGCCTTAAAATCCTCTACCTAAGTGCCGAGCAACTAACTCAATATTACATACGTTTTCAAACAACTTAAACCCGCCAGTTTTCATCTGGAAATGGAGATCGGTGTCGCAAGCTGTATTATGCGGTGTCTGGATAAAACCAGACATTTTTTTAATAAAAAAAAATGTGTAGTTAAAATTTACCTTTCGTTATCAAGTACACCACATGGGTCATTCACTATATAGACCTCTCAAGAAACGGAAATCGATTATCAGTTCACCCAACGAAAAAATTGACCCGAAATCTTAAAAGGGTTACGTGTCCGTATAAGCAGTTTTAACGTTCACGTCCAAACGACTCAATATTTTGAGCTGAAATTTGGAGACAAGGTACAAGCCTCGTTCTTTGAGACCCTTACCACAAATGGCACTGAAACGCATTATGGTACACGATTCTCCTCATACCATAACACGGGTCGGTTCAGAAAAGTATGAAGCCGATCCCCATTTCATATCATTATATTTCGTTACTTATTAAAGATGCATTATGTAAGATTCTGGACTGTTATGATAAATACATAGATACGTACTCGTAAATGGTAGCTCTTCACGTGAGTCCTGATTTATATTCAGGTGACACGTGTAATGAAGATGGAAACTAATAAATAATTTCCGCCATCATGACATAAACACTTAGTAAATCTGAAGGTCCTCGCTGTGATCTAAGCTCGATATCAGATTCTCCAGAGGAACTTTCTCGTCCAACAGGGGATTGAACCCGGGACTCAGCGCCGATTAACCTTGTGGGGGGGGGGGGGGGGCAGGACATACCAACTGTGCGGGGGCCCCATTGTTGTTTGTTCAAATTGTTCGTACTGATCGCGGATCGTACTAGTATGTACTCCACCCCCTTGAGTGTATCGGGCCCCCAATATCCCTTACTGCCCGGGGCTCCAATCCTCGCCCCCTTAGCCCAGGAACTGGTTGGCTCCGTCCGGGATGAAATATTAATATGACCCAGAATTTTTTTTTTTGGGGGGGGGGGGGCCTGAAAGGGGGCGCAGGATCCGGTACTGCCGGGACCTCTAAGTTATCCAGTCAGCGTTTTACTCTCTGAAACACCGCGGTTTTAAATTCAATGAAATGAAATAGTCAACTTACGTTTTATGCTTATTGTGGGTTGATAAACTGCAGAAGGCAACGAGGGCAACTAACTGTGTGGCCGGTGAAAACGGGAATGACAAGTTATTATACTAGTATGCGTCATATGTTGTTATGTTATTTGGCATGATTAGACTACGCCCCCAACGTCACGTGTTATAATGCAGGTGTCTTTATAAACAACTCAATGGGACAGACAAATGACTATTTCTAGAAAAATCCTTTTATGAAATGGGTAGAATACAGCTCAAGGTCTCCCTGCACATCAAATTCGATATAAGAGTAGGCCGTAGCGCCACTGCCCGGACAAAATTTCCCCCATAGCACACTGTATGGCGTATGCCCGTCTTCATTAGCCCAGGTTAGGTGCAGAACAGTAGGACGTTAAACCCTATTTAATTTCATTTCAATTTATCCGTGGGTTTGTCTTATCGGTTTTGTTTACGTGTGGTGCGGTCCTATTGACTGTTGGCGTGTGTTGGCCAGAATTACACAAGAAGCGACACGATGATAAAACTTATCAGATGTTATTTAAAATTTAGTCCGATAAAATACAGAACATAAAACGAAAAACGAGTTAGAAAAACATTTGATTAATCAAATTGTAAAACTAGTCTACTCTTCAAGCAAAGTTACTTGCCACTATGCAATAACAACGAGTCTTTGTACACATATTGTTGAATTGATTAGTACAGTGGTTCTCAGCCCTTTTTTGCCAACCGCACACCTTGAAACACATGTATACATAGCGGCACACCTGGCTAAATATATATGAAAAATATTTGAATTTTTCAAAATAAAAACATGGCAAGTCAGACGGCATACAACCGTAGGCAGAGACTAGTCATAGACACATATAGAATGACTCAAACTTAATAATGAAAAACATAACTATGAACTTATAAGTAAACAACAGTTAATACTCAATTGAGATCACCTGGTTTTTCACATTTTCTTAGTGAGCCGTTCAAATTTTCGGCCAAGCCTCGCTCACCATTAATTACTAAGTCGGCAGGATAAAAAAAACATAGTCTCTATTATCCATTTCATGATTTAATTATATGAATGGAAGGCAAACAGCAAATCGGAACCTAATCCAATAAACATCGCCATGGAGAGTTGATTATGGGCTGGATAAGTTAATTAATGTCTAATTAATAATTTAGATAACATTTCAGGCCCAAAGAAAGACCTGCAATAGGCGAATATAGCTTTTGCATAATGTATGTTTAATGATTAATACAATGACATCATTATTAATGTGACGTCATAATGTATGTTTGAATAAGCATCTTATTCAAATAATGAACGGAAGCCTCCCCATGCACTGACAAAGAATTTGTTTACTTTGTTGACAAACCGATCGTTATTTTCAAGCTCACGACGGAGGCACTCACGCGAATCTTGCAATGTTTGCTCTTCTTCTTTAATTATTCGTTCTTTTTCTTTTCGCTGCTTTTCAAACTCCATTAGTCTCTCGTGTCGCTCTTCTTCCAATTTTGTCATTTCTTCTTCGAATCGTCTCTTCTCTTTTAGTTCCTCTTGTTCAATACGCCTTCTTTCTTCCTCTTCGCGTAACCTCTCTTCCTCCTGTGCCATTTATCGTCGCTTTTGTTCAAGTCGTTGTCTTTCAGTTTCTATTTTGTCTTCCAATTTCTCTTTTTCTTGGAGTAGTGTGTCCTGCTGGAGTTTTGCCTTCGTATCTTCTTCAATGCGTAATTGACGGCAGGCGCTCTACTCCAGCTGCATTTTTTCGTGCTCTTCTCCGGCCTTCCTTTCCCTCTCATTCTGCTCTTTTTCCAATTGTGTACGCTTCCGTTTCATTTCTTCCTCAAGTCGTCGTTTTTGTGCCTTATTTTCCTCCTCGATTTCATCTTTCGAGTGCAAGCTTTTCCTTATTTTTTTTCAGCTTCTAACTGATCTAATCGTTCTTTGAGGGCTTTTTCCGCGACGGAGTACTTTTTTCCTGTGTAATGGTTACCCCAGTTGTCTGTAATCGTACATTGAACCAAAGCCATTATAGTGTCAACATCGTTGCTAAGACGCAGCTGGTCAGCCCAGTTGTTTATTGCTTTACGTCGACCACCACACTCAACCAACAGAGTTTGTAATTCTTTGCTGCTGGGACAGAGAAATGACTATTTCTAGAAAAAATATTTTATGAAATGGGTAGAATACAGCTCAAGGTCTCCCTTTTCATTCTGCGCATAGATATCCATTTACTTATTCATACTTCGAGAATAGATCTCTGCCCTAAATGGCCGCCATATCAACAATTGGTATACCCTTCTTAGAGCGGCATTTAGCAATTGACATACGTAATACACACAAAAAATATAATATGGAACACAATTACTATTTTAATTAAAGTGACGTTTCGTTGAGGGTTCTCTCAACGTTTTGAAGCAAATTAGTATACTGTTTTTTAAAGCGCCCCTTCCCTGGTTCAGATTTGTTATACACAACAAGACAAATTAAACGTTTTCAGAATTTATATTTCTAAAAATTCTCGAAATATATTTTGTGTTTTTCGACTAAATCGTCGATTTAGGACTTAAATGTCGGTCAACTAGCTTAGTGGCTGTGCTCAAGTGTTCGCTCCCTGCATTGGCCGAGAAACTTCATCCAGATTTTCCGGCGTGGATTCCCCTTGTCAGTGATGCAGGACGGAGAGCCGGAGAAGGACAGCTGTCTATTCGTTCGGATGGCACGAAAAAACGAGGTCTTGAAATGGTTTCAACGGACAGCATCTAGCCATGCGGATCGGTAAACAAATTTAGGTTCCTTGTAGACGTCGACGGACAAACTGACTAACCTTGCATGGCTGGTATTTGATGAAGTATAGGCGGTAATTATCGTTCAAAATAGGAGCAAGTCACTGTACTACTATTCCAAGTTTGTGTAGTCTAAATATTAAGAAAGAACAACACTTTCTAGTCTGATCTATCTATGTTGTTTATTTTTAGAAATACAAAAGCAGAGCAGAAAACTTAAAATAGTGTTTAACAGAAAATAAAGAAAAAAAAAATGTCAATTTTTCCTGTTGGTGACAGAACTACACCTCACCCCCTACCCCTTGAATTCTGTAGCAATATTGTCGTTGCGACATTGTTTTCAATTTATAGGCAAGGAATAGAGAATAAGATGGCATTTTATGGTATTAATTAATGATTTGGCAAGTTAGTAGATTCAAACATATTCACATATAAATACTTAAATCAAAATGAGTGAACGAATGACATTGTTATATAAAAAAGGGTTATAGAACCAAAACATAGCTGGTTCTATATGTCAACAACATGATAACAGATAGCTCATGGGAAGTTTCTCCAGTGAATTTCCATTTAACCATATAAGGGTGGGTTTCGACGCCATGTGACTTAATTAACCAATAGCTATAATTATTTACATCATATTTGACCAATTAGATAATTGAACGTCGAAAACGTACAGCTACAAAACTATCATACTTATGAGAATTCGTTAGATAACAGACAGATTCTGGAAGGGAAAAGATGTAAACATTTCTATTAAGCAGACTCGCCCATATCGAGTCTGGCTGGCTAGGGTTTGAGAATGACTTTAGTATTGTAATCTATACTATGCTTATATGTATTCAGATTGATATATAAAATGTAAAAACGAACTGTTGCATTGTTATAACTACTGAGAAGACAAACGTCTTAAGAAAACAGTAAGAAGTAAATAAACAACGTGAAGCAGAAGTAGAGACAGCTAGAGACAAATTCTAGACGATCACAAGGCTACTAATATATATAGTAAGAAAAGACGCATGGGTCGTACGCAGGATTTGGCGACCGGAATCAATGGCCCGCTTTCCACGTCTAACAGAAAGACTCATGGTAATACAATTCCACGCTCACCTTCCGTACAATTTATTACAGTAAAATAAACAAAAGTGTCGCATGGGCCCCTGCTCTAATCAGATTTAGAATAATACGGTACTGGATGTCTTGTGTAATTTTCGAATTTGCCATGGCTTTCCATTGTGATTGGTCATCATCCAGTACCTATACGTGTTATTATAGTATATTACACGTCGATTCATCGCGTTCATTGGGGCATTCTATGCCCTGAAACCCAAATCGCATTCTCCCGATCTCTTGTTCATGCTGCATTTGCATTTGGCGAATAAATTGTTTAAGCAGCAATTGCCTTCTGAGACTCTCTTGTTCCGCCTGTTCCGCTTTCAGTTTTTCCGCCGCTTCTTGTCGTAGTCGGGATTGTACGGCCTCGTTGGTTGTTTTAAACAGTTCTCCGGTGTAATGCGTACCGCTATTATCTTTTATGGTTTGCCTGGCTAACTGAATGATATTTGACACATCAGCTTGAAGACAGCCTGATTCAGCCCTGTTATTGATGCTTACTACCCTGTCTTTGCATTGGTCGATTACTGATCTCAGCTCTTCTGGACTGTTCCTAATATGTTCACGGAGAGTCATATTGTCGAATTCAAGCGATTCTTTACCAGTGAATACCACAATTACATAGCTCATCACGCGTTCGCCGAACAGATCTTTGAGATGCTGAATGGTTTCCATCTCTTCTTGGGTATATCGACCAATCTTCAAAACGAAGACAAAGATGTGAGGGCCCGGTGACGACAGAACGATAGACCTTGCAACTTCTTTTAATGTCTTAGTGATGTTAGTGTGTTTTCGTGTATCGAATATTCCTGGTGTATCCACGACAACTAACTTGCTTCCATCTCGAAGTCGCCTCTCTTCTAATTGACAGGAGGTGGTTAAAGACTTCCCAAATGTGTTCGACGCGAAAACATTTTTATCCAACAAACTATTTCCCAACGAGCTCTTTCCATTGCCGGTCTTTCCAACCAAAACCATTCGAATTTCTGCAAGTAGAAATAAACTAAAGTGATGGTCTTTGTCGTATTGCATTCGATTTCTTAAAATTTGAATATTTTGACGTATTATGCCATCGCCACTGCCTGTCTGTGTGCCCGCGCGTTTGTTCACATTTTGTTTGTGGATAATCTCTACATGTTACAGTTTTTATCCGATTTAGCTTTATTTAACGTCTGGACCACCGAAGTGATATCGCCGATAGAAAGGTTCAATATATTGATTTGAAAAGATTTATAAATCATTGCGTCAGCTTATGCGTTTGATAGTC